TCAAAAATCCCTGGTTGAGAATAAGATTCCTAAGAGGCAACACATCTTGTTCCTTCTTTAAAATGTATTTTTTTCCCAAAGACTACCAGATATTTGGATATTCTTGTTTCTCTGAGTTGTTTGAATCATAATTTTTTATTTTCCAGAAGAACCACCTAAAGAATAGCTAGAGTTCCCATATGCTGAAACCTGCAACAGATGTATAACTTAGCATGCTTATTTAATATTTTTATATCTGCTCTCTAGATGTTAAATGAGAAATGAAAATAGCCCCATTTAACTGCCAAAGGGAGAATAAAAACTGTCTACCTCTACTTATGGTCATGGAAAGCTGGTGATATTTAAGGAGAAAAAAATACTCCAGAAGTGAAATGAAGACTCTAACCTGCATAAAACCTGTTTATTACTATTCCCAGTGCCTAGACGATGGCTGGCATATAGTAGTCATTCAATAAAAATAAATAGATTAGCCAGGTGCGGTGGCTCACACCTATAATCCCAGCACCAACAGAGGCCGAGGTGAGAGGATTGCCTGGGCCCACCAGTTCAAGACCAGCCTGGGCAACTTGGCTGAGACCTCATCTCTACAATAAGTCAAAAAATTAGCTGGGTATGGTGGCGAGTGCCTGTAATTTCAGCTACTTGGAAGGCTGAGGCGGAAGGATCATCTGAGCCCAGCAGGTCAAGGCTGCGGTGGCTGTAAGCGTGCCACTGCACTCTAGCCTGGTCGACAGAATGAGACTCGAACTCAAAAAATAAAAAATACATAGACTGACTCCCATAGTCAGTCTTCTTTTTTTTTTTTTTATTCAGCCATCAGATATTCCTCATTATACAGGATGATTGGGAGGGCTAATATTCTGGAGATTGTCAAAGTGCCACTTCTACTTCTCACAGATTGTAACATGAGCATGAGGGCTAGGAAATTATCCTTATCTGCACTGGTAGTCTGAGAAGATATGACCCAGTCAGCTGTTCTAATATAGAACAGCTGGAGAACCTTATACAGTGGCATAGACTCAATTACCAAATGTAAAATTATTTTAATTTTTAAAAAAATAATTAATTGCATTAATGAATTATATTATGGGGTTTTTTTTTTATTCCTGTACCTAACAAAGTTATAACATATGAAATTGGGTTTCAGGGAACCAAATTTTGCATAGGAGTTTCTGGGGCCAAGAGTCAAGCTATCTCTCTCTCTCTCTCTCTCTCTCTCTCTCTTTTGTTTTTTTAAAGTCAGAATCTTGCTCTGTTACCGAGGCTGGAGTGCAGTGGCAAGATCATTGGTACTGCAGCCTTGACGTGCTGGGCTGAGGCAATCCTTTTGTCTCAGCCTTCCAAGTAGCTGAGACTAACTGGGCGTGCCACCATGCCCAGCTAATTTTTTAATTTACTATAGAGATGAGGTCTTGCCAAGTTGCCCAAGCTGGTCTCAAACTCCTGGGTTCGGGTAATCTTCTTGAGATTAACAGGGGCGTGTTGCCATGCCCAGCTAATATTTTGATTTATTATAGAGACAAGGTCTTGCCACTGCAGTGGCTCAAGCCATATCTTGAGAGTGGAAACAAGAAGTAGAAGAGACATCTCTGACATAGATTTGATCTGGGAAGGAAGAATTCTTTTTGACACTTTTCACAATCACGTGAATTGATTAGAATCATAGTGACAACTTCTCTGCCACTTACTTGTGACAATAAAGTAACAAGGGCCAGAAGATCCTGGTTTATGTTTTGTTTTCCTGTCAAAGCACTCAGTGTACTCTGCCATGGTTTTTCTTGTGTTTGGAAATATTTGGCCCCTGGACAGAGCAGGCAAATTCCATTCTTTGGGGGACACATTGAGTTTTCCTTTGTCCAACAAGATCATTAGATATATCTTACTTTCTACATTTTTAAAAAAGTGTTCTTTATTTCAATAGCTTTAAAGGGTACAAATTATTTTCGGTCACATAGTTGCCTTGTATATTGACAAAGAAATCTGGGCTTTAAGTGTACCCACTGCCCTTACTTGTGCACATTGTACCCGATAGGCCATCTCCCCACCCCCGTTCCCCTTCAAATTTTAAATCATGTGTTGCAAAACTGTGACTGGGACCAGAATATCTTAGCAGTATGTTTGCATTTCTAGATATTTTCACTAGGATATATGATATTACAAAACAAGTATGTGACATCTTCAGAACAAATTAGGTTAAGTCACCCTATTTAGACTCCGTTTTCCTCCTGTATTTTCCTGTCAACCATGTTCATTTCTGCCTAATATTATGTAAAGCAATAAGGTACCTAAATATATATATATATATATATATATATATATATATATATATATATATATGAATTGGCAACATTTATCATCAAGCACAGTTACATTTGGTGAAAATACTTGGCTGTTGTGATTAATTCAGTTATACATTGTCTCTTCTCCCATTTACAAAAGAGAGTATATAAACTATGTAAGATAGGACATTTACAAATAAATGTCAAAAGGAAAAGCTAGAAACCATTAAGAGCAAAAATATAAAACCAGTGACTAGACTAATAGCCAATATTTGAGTCTATTCTATCAGCAACTTATATTTTTAATGGTTTTACATGTATTAACCCATTTTATTTTTACCATAGTGCTACTAAATAGATACTTTTGTTACCTCCATTTTACTAATAAGGAAACTGAAGCACAGAGAGATGAATTATTTGCCTGAGGTCACATAGCTAACAAGTGGTAGAACCAGGATTTGATTTCAGACATTCTCGCTTAGAATTTCTATGCCTTTATGAATTTCACAGCAATTTGGATGGACTTAGAGTCTATAATACTGAGTGATCTATCGCAGAAACAAAGAACTGAGTATCACATGTTCTCATCCATAAGGGGGCCTTGAACAATTATAATACTATAATACTAGAAAAGGATTGGCAATTGTGGGAAACTGCGGTGGGGGGTGATTTTCAGTAGAGGGACTCTACCGGGGGAGGGGGGACACACCTCATCAACAAGGGTACCTGCATAATGAATATTTGTATACCTAACCTTGAATTGTACTCCACATCTTTAAAATACAAAATTTTTAAAAAAGAACTTCTGTGCTAATCTAAAATGCTTCTATGCTTGGAACTAAATTGCTCAGTTCTAAGAATCTAAATTGTTTAGAACTTCTATGCTATCTAAACTGCCTTCCAAACTTGGGGACACACTATTCAGACCTTCAAGTCAGGCAAGACAAGAATATTCAATATTTTCTCCTACTGCTAAGTTCTTGAGAAAGTCATTGGGTGGATTGTAATATGAGCAACATAATGTAACATGACACAAAAAAATTATTAATTGTCATTTCACAAGATTCAAAAGTGTTCAATATTTCTCACACCAATTCTCAATAAAAGGGGCTTCAATAGTAAGTAACTCAGTGAGCACAAATCTGATGTGATTTGAAGTCCAGATTTCCTAAAGTTGATGATTGAATGTGATTTCTGTTATTGATCCCTCTTTTATTTACTTTATAGTACATGTAATATTCTGTGATTATCTTTATATATTGATTTGCCTTTCATGTATGGCTGGTATCCCTGCTAGAGTGACAGCAAGGGCCTGTCTGCCTTGCTCATCTGTATGTCTTCACAACTTAGCATAGAGTCTGGCACGGTAGATGCTCAGCATTATTTATTGAGTAAATAATCCCCCCAAAGGCAAAGAGTTCCACTTCAAGATCCTTAAACTATCAATTATGACTATGAGAAGCCATTGATTCTTAAGGAGTTACTAGTAGATTGATCTGGACCGTAGTTCAAGGGCAGTGTGTTGACACTTTGACATGTTTTATCTTCTATGTAAGCCCTGTTGTCAGGACCAGTGCCTGGAATTGCATTCTGTAGGATTCACTCAAACCCTGTCAGTCAGTGCCTTTCTACAGTTGATACAGTTAGTGGACAGAAGGGAAGTTCTGCCCCCACACCTCCAACACTGCTTAGTTCAAAGCTCTCTGCCTCTGCCTCTGATCAACAGTCTTCAGCATGAACTGAAAGACAAAACACTTTCTGTTGCATATTTTACAGCACGTGTTGCTTTTCATGGGTGTCGCAGGTTCTGAGTGCTGCAAGTGGCTTCTTGCTACCAGATTTGCTAACACTTTCCCTGTGCTCCTGAAAACAAGGGCCTTATGTGGACTCAGCTAGCACTACATTGCAGCCGGTGCTACTTCAGGGGATGCAGAGCCTGTGAACTGTGGCCTCCCTTGCTCAGCCTCCTCTGCCTTTGCTTTTGCCATGTCTCGAGCCCACGAGCAGCATATGAGGGGAAGGCTGTCACTCGACCCATTTTCAGCTCAAGAAAGAGAATACCATAACTGTGTTGTTTGCTCCAATATTTTTTCTAAATGAACCTGAAATTCAAATACAAATTATATCCTAAGTTTTAAAAATGTGACAACTGTTCTAAGCTTTGGTTTCACAGGCTGTGGGGCCCTCCTAGCCTTTCCTCTCACATGCTGTGACACTGCATTCCTTTTATTTCCCACCGTATACTGTGCCACACCACACCTTGCTCTTGCTCTTTACAGAACACCCTGACCCAGCCCTTCTCTGCCTTCAACTTTCAGCTCAAATGTCACCGCCCACAGATGTTTTCCTGAAATTTCCAGACCCTGCTGTGTACCTCTCCTTTGTGCTTTCTGTGTTTTGGCACCTAAGCATGTATATTGAACGATCTCTTCTATGTGTCTGTTTCCTCCACTAGACTGAAAGCAATTTCTTGAGAGCAGGAACCATGTCTTACTCACTTCTTGCCCACAATCCGTCGCATCTAGTCTAGCATGTAGAGGGAGCTCAATAAATATCGACTGAAATGAGTTGTGTTGCCCAAAAGCTGTGATGTTCTTACTCTGTCTGACCTATTTTTTTCAGCATTCAAAACTCCTGGAGGCACCAGAAACATTTTACAAGTGATTTCGTATTTTAGAACTTCTGAGAATATAATATTTTGTCATTGCTTTTCCTCCTCAGGAACCTCTTTCTGGAGCTGTTGAAGAGAAAAGGAGCAATTATGTCCACGATTGCAGCTTTCTATGGCGGCAAGTCCATCCTCATCACGGGGGCCACGGGCTTCATGGGCAAAGTGCTCATGGAGAAGCTGTTTCGCACCAGTCCTGACTTGAAAGTCATTTACATCCTTGTGAGGCCCAAGGCTGGCCAGACACTCCAGCAGAGGGTATTCCAGATCCTAAACAGTAAGGTATGCTTCATAGGAAAAGCTTGCATAATGGGCAATGCCTTAGGACAAGATGATTCACTACAGTGTTCCCTTATAGGCCCCAATTGCAAGTGGGGACCAGGCTATCTGTGCAGGTAGAAGAAAGACAAAACAAGACAACTTCCAACACCTCTGTAATCTATGGTGATTTCCCAAAAGAGGAAAGATTGCTTAGACTCAGTCCAGGGCAGGTGAGGAGATCGTTAGTGTTCTGGAAACTACAAAGTAAGCACGAAAATACGAAAGCCCCCAGAGTGGACACTCTAGGCTTGAAATTTTCTGCAATTCACCTGAACTCATCACTAATTTTCTTCTAAATTTAAGGTGGTTCCCCCAACCCAAAGTTTTTGTATAGTCTTCTGTTCTATTCTATTCTATATGGAATAGATATGATTACTAAGTAGCCACGTGGTAATACTTTCAGTTGTCCAAATTCTGCAAGGTTTAGCTGTTATATATTTCGTTAATGGAAACTTAGTAGTTCTATTATCCCGTGAGTTCTTCTAAGGAAAAAGATTGAAAATGAAATACTATATCTGTGAATGAGCATTTGGATATCAAACCATCTCTCCCCTCAAAAAAAAAAAAAAAAGACATCATGCATATCTTCTCATGTTTTAATTTATACATTTCAAGGCAGGATAGGCTTTGATATCAAACATATCTAGGTTCAAATTCTGGCTTACCAATTTGTTGTTACTTTAGCCCTTAAACTTCAGTTTTCCAATGTTTACAATAAAAACAACAACTATCTCCCGTAGGAATTAAGTGACAAAATGTATGTGTCTGGGCCATAGAGCCCTTTGGAACATATAGGATCATGTAAAGCTGGCAAAAGGAAAAGTCAAAGATTTTTTTTTTTTTTTACAAAGACTCCTTTCCAGTGTGTATATACAGGTGTATTTGAGAACACAGCACATTGCAGACTGCCCAGAGACACTGATGATCAAATTCACCTGTGGGCAAAAGGATGAAATTTCTGTACAAAATATCATCAAGCCAACTGGAAAAGCCTCTCTTGCATCTCATGGCTTGATTCAGCAGTGGGACAAATAATAATAATAGCTAACTTTACAGGATACTTAGTACATGACAGATATTACTCAAAGAGTTTTTCATACCTTACCTCATGTTTCTTTGCAACAACCCTGTGACTTAAGAACCATTAATATCCTTGTTGTATAGATAGGGAAACAGACCCAAAGTGTTAACTTACCAAGATTCCCCACCTGCTAAAGGGAGAGTCAGCCTTCAAACCCTTACCATTTGACTCCAGGGCTGACCTACTTACTCCTGCCCCACGCTGCCTTCAGGATAACTAATGGTTCTTAAAAATAAGAACCAAAGGCTGATATGACAAAAAACCAAAACTTAGAATAAAACTCCCATATCCCTCATCACACAGATTTGCTCAGTTCTCTATCCTAACAGGCTTTGTTTTCATCACATAGCAGATATCCCTCTTTGGTCTGGTAGCTTTGTGGTCAGCTGTGGATTTCTGGATAAACGCTGTGGCAGAGAGTCTTGTGGTCAGCACAGTCTCTACCTACTGCGCTTTTCAGTGCCTTGTTTTTGATAACACAGCAACATTGCTTTTGTTCTGGAAATGATTATACTGTGTATCACTTATCTGTGAAACTGCTTTGCAAATCTCCACACCTGTTGTCTATTTATTGGCTATTTATTGTCAGCTGCTGACTTTTACGAACAGTGATTCTTAAGGTGTGGTTCCAAGGCCAGCACCATTAAGATCACTTGGGAACTATCTGTTGCTATCAGATGGTACTTAAGAGCACAGGCAGGCTGGGTGCAGTGGCTAATGCCTGTAATCCCAGCACTTTGGGAGGCCGAGGTGGGAGGATCAAGTTGAGCCTAGGAGTTGGAGACAGGCATGGACAATACAGTGAGACTGGACATGATGGTGTGTGCATATAGTCCCAACTACTTGGGAGGTTGAGGTGGGAGGATCACTTGAGCCCAGGAGTTTGATGTTGTGGTAAGCCATGATCGTATCACAGCATGCCAGCCTGGGTGACAGAGTGAGAATCTAACTCAAAAAAAAAAAAAAAGATCCTAGCTTCAGAGGTAGATTGACCTAGGTTTGAATCTCAGTACTGCCAATTATGAGCTGTGTGATAATGAGCAAGATACATATCTTGCTGAGCCTTGAGTTCTTTATCTGTAAAATGTGGTATAATACCTTGCTCACCCAGGGAGAGTCAGTCTCTGTCTCTGTCTCTTTCTTTCTGTCCCTCTGTCTCTGGCTCTCTCTCTGGCTCTCTTTCTCTCTCTCACCCTGTCTCTGACTCTCTGTCTCTGTCTCTGTCTTGGATTTTTGAATCCAAGTTTTTATTAAGTTATGCTAATTAGAGTTTATTTATCAGGATTTTATCTTTTTTTCCATAAATTTTTCCCTTAAAGAATTTTAGGAAGAAAGGAATTTGATGTACATAATATAGCCGAACAACCTACCTGTGGTAAATCACCATGTCTACACCTGACTATTAAAAAATAAGCCACTGGTTATGCAAATACCTACTTTCCTGGCACTATGTGGAATCTGATATCTGTAAAGAGATTTTTCATGGAAAAAAATTATCTGCTTAATTTCATATCTGGGCATTTCAGTCTTGGAATGCTATTGCTGACTGGCTGTAAATAAAGCTCTATGCAAGTTAGGAATTACCCAACAAGAAGTTACTGGCCATCTATGAGATATGAAGTGTTACTGCTCATATTCATTTTGCAACTGAAAATTCAAAATAAAGACAAGTAAGCTAAGATTACATTTTTAAAATTATAAAGATGAACTACTTTTGAAAGGTGAAGGAGGAGACCTTTGGATATATTAATTTTTTTTTTTACTTTCAAGATAAAAAATACTGAGTCAAAATAACACTATCTTCAGATGTTTTCATATAGCTTGGTAGTTAGAATCATTTAGATGACTTATCCCACCTTTGGAAATTTTTGTTGTCTATATCCGTGCTCTTCAGTATAGTAGCAAGTAGTCATATGGCTATTTAATTTTAAATTAACTATAATTAAATGGAATTTAAAATTCATTTCCTCAGTCTCACTAGCCACATTTCAAGTGCTCAACAGCCACATATGACTAATGATTATTTTATTGGAGAGGGCAGGTACAGAATATTTCTATTGTCATAGAAAGTTTTATCAGACAGCATTGATCTACATGGTTAAATATCTTGTAGAAATAGACTATAATGTGATTCAGAATTGCATGCAGACACTTAATCCTACAGACACTTATTGAAGTGCTTAATACGTGTTAAGTGCATAAGCAGCACAAAACTAAGAAGACAGAAGTGACAGGGCCATATCAAGTGGTAGAGACAGACACGTGGAACATAATTGCAGTGCATCATGAGTTCTCCAGGGAGAGGACAGCCAAGGCCAGTCAAAACAAAAGGAATCACACTTGCAAATGCACAAATGGTGCGGTGTGTTTGGAAGACTGGGTGGTTTGCTTGGCTCCAAGCAAATGAAATAAGGACTAGAAAGTTATGCTGAGGCCACATCCTGAAAGATTCCAGATAATTGTAACAGTTAGGTTACTTTCAGGTAAAAGAAACGCAATTGAAATTGGCTTTAAAAACAAAGGTGATATATTTATTATTCAATGGAACAAATCCAGCATTAGAATAGTGAGCAACTAGAACTCTGACTGCCTTGCTCTGTGAGCCTCTCCATTCTGCCATTTTGTTCAGCTTTATTCCAGTTACAAAAAATGATTGCTATCGCTTCAAGCTTCACACGCATATATGGCAGTCCTTGGATAGAGAGAGGCTATGAGACTGGCTCTCTGGCTGGCTGTCTCTGAGACTGTCTCCTAAGATTGATGGTACTTCTCTAGAAATCCTCATCAAATTCCTCTAACATTCCATCAGCCTGGTTGAGGTTACATGTCCATTTCTGACCTACCCCTGTGGCCTGAGGCATAGCATGTACTTTTTTGTTCTGAAACATCAGGTCTTAGCCAATCATTGTCCAGAGGACAAGAATGCACAGAGATCAATAAGCCTTTCCTGAGGCATGGTGGCTACTGAAGAACACCTGTGTGATAACATCATTATCAAAAGACAGCAGAATGGATGTTAGGAGCTAAGCATCCTGAATAGAGCATCGTTTCTGGAGTAGGAAAGACCTGAGTTGGTGTCTTCTCTCCACACTTGGCAGTGTGACTTAACATAACTGAGCCTCAATTTCCAAATGGAGATAATAGCCATTGTCTTTTGTACTGTTGTGAGATGAATTAGTACAGGAAAGGTGCTTAGAATAGTGCCTTTAAGATTCAGCAAATATTAGCTTTAAATTCATACTCAGATACAGGAGAGAGTTTGAGATTTATCTTTTAGAGCATGGCACTCCCATTGAAGGTCTTTTTTATCTTCTCACAGCTAGATGATTTCCTACTTCTTAAATAATAATTAAAAAAACAGTACTCAAGTGATGCCAGTGAAGATGGAAAGATAAATGTGACTTAGTTGAGTAGCTGTGACAGAAATCACATGGCCCACAAAGCTGAGAATACTTACTATCTGGCCCTTTTTGGAAGTTTGCCAACACCTGGAATAGAAAATTAGAAAAGTGCCTTCTGATATAAAACACCTAAACATATTAGATAAAATGTTCCTATAAAAGAATCTTAATTCATAGCTGAACAAGAGGCAAAATAAGGAAATTCCTAGGAGTCTAGAAATGGCAAGAAAAGCCAGGCTCGGTGGCTCAGCCTGTAATCCCACCCCTTGGGAGGCTGAGGTGAGTGAATTGCCCGAGCCCACGGGGTTCGAGACCCGCCTGGGCAACTTGGCGAGACCTCATCTCTACAATAAATAAAAAATCAGCTGGGCGTGGTAGCATGCACCTGTAGTTCCAGCTCCTTGGAAGGCTGAGGCTGAAGGATTGCCGGAGCCCAGCAGGTCGAGGACCAGTCTGGGTGACAGAGTGAGACTCCAACT